TTTTTGGGTTGAGCCCCTACGGCCCACACTGGCGCCACGTCCGCAAAATCGCCACGCTCCAACTCCTAACCAGCCACCGCCTCGACCAGCTACAGCACATCAGAACATCGGAGGTTCAGCGTTCCATTAAGAAGCTGTATGAGTTATGCGTCAATAAAAGAGACCAAAAGGAAGTATTGGTGGATATGAAGACGTGGTTCGGAGATGTAACGTTGAACAACATATTTAGGATTGTGGTCGGAAAGAGATTCTCGACGGCCATGGGTGGCAGTGGTAATGAGGAGTACAGGAAGGCGTTGAGAGAATTCTTTGAATGGTTTGGAGTGTTCATTCCGTCGGATTTCTTCCCATTTCTGAGTTGGTTGGATTTGGGAGAGTATGAGAAGGCCATGAAGAAGACGGCAAAAATCCTGAACCATGTGTTTGATAAGTGGCTTGAAGAGCACCGGCAGAAGATAAATTCCAGTCATGTACTGGAGTCAGAGGAGCACGATTTTATGGACGTTATGCTTTCTTCTGTTAAAGATGATGAAGAAATTTCTAGCTACGATGATGATACTGTCATCAAATCTACATGTTTGGTATGCCTTTTTTTTTTATTAATTTGTTTCTCTTTTCAAAATTTTGAAACGAACTATAAAGAAAGGTTGATTTATCGTAGTGCTAAATTTAAACATTATTGTACAGACTCTCATGTTGGCCGGTTCTGACACTACAACAGTGGTAATGATATGGGCTCTTTCTTTACTTCTCAACAATCAAAAAGTACTCAAGAGAGCTCAACTTGAATTAGATGAACAAGTTGGGAGAGGAAGACAAGTGAAAGAGTCAGACATAGAGAAGCTTATATATCTCCAAGCAATTGTAAAAGAGACTTTGCGGTTGTATCCTCCAACACCACTAGCAATCCCTCACGAATCTATGGAAGATTGCACAATTGCTGGTTACCACATTCCAGCAGGAACACGACTCATGGTCAACATTCAAAAGCTTCAAAAAGACCCACTTGTATGGGAGGATCCTTGTGAATTTCGACCAGAAAGATTTCTGACAAGCCAAAAAGATTTCGACATTAGAGGGAAAAGCCCACAGTTGATACCATTTGGAAATGGGCGAAGGAGGTGCCCAGCAATCTATATGCCCTCCAAATATTGCATTTAACACTTGGAAATTTACTTCATGGATTTGATATTGATAGGCCATCTAAAGAACTACTCGATATGGATGAGAGTATTGGAATTACCACAACGAGAAGAAACTCACTCGAGGTGGTTTTAAGTCCACGCCTTCCCCCTCAAATTTACGAATGAATAATAGTTTTAAGAGAAAGTTGGGAATGGAAAACAAAAGTAATAAGAAAAATAAAATTAGATTGGTAGGGAATGGAACTAAGGCGCCCTAGTTGAGCCATATAGTTGTTTTATTTATTAAGAAAAACAAGTTGATTCTGTCATTTAGATTTGTATTTAACAACATGAGTCTAATAAATTACTGTGTCAAAGTTAACCTATGACAGAAGCAGACCTCCATGTGGTTTCTTTTCACGATGAAGTTGAAGAAATGATTGGTAAAGCAAGGCGCAGCTCAAATTTTTTCTGCCATCCATCTCCATTTAAGAAATCAAAGTGCACATTTTTTTTTTCTTAGCAATTTTTCATGTTAAAAGAAGAGGCTACTGCAAAGAGAAAGGATACCTAATAAAAAAATATTTTTCGTAATTGGCACATCTTTTGTTAAACCACCCATAAGAATTCTATTCTGACTTTTATTTGGAGAATATCCAACAATAGATTCCATTGAGTGAATAGTTGACCCAAATCCTAAAAATCTTTTGAATAAGTATGAGTAATTAAATGAAATAAAGCAGCCCGATAAAATCCTATATCCAAGACTRACATTATATAACCCAATTGAGACATCGTAGAGGCTAAACTTCTCTTAATATCTTTTCGAGGAAGGGAAAGGTTATTTGTTAATGTGTTAGCTTAAAAACCTTAAACTTATCTTTATTAAAAGTCTCTTACCTTTTCTAAGTTGTTGAAAATCCTCTGGTTTCTATCCCAGCAGAGTAATGTTTTGAAGATAAATAAAGATAAATGTGAGGTACCATAATCCATAATTTTTACGTGTACCTTAGAAAGCTTCCAAAAGAGGGAGCTGTCATACTAATAGCCAATCCAAGTTGACTTCTTCCTTGCCGATCTGAAAGCCTATCGAATTAAAAAAAAAAAATTACTTCTTAAGGTTTAAGATAAATATTACAACAATCATGTAATTTCTTCTTCGACTATTAAAAGTTAAAATTGGACAAAAGCATAGAGTGATCTGAGCAGGTTCACATTTTCTTCATCGATTGAAATCTCCTCCCTTTATCCCCGAACTTCGTGGTGTTATAAAACTTGAGATAATCCTCAAACCGGTACTCCCCCGGGTACAGAAGCTCCGGCGCCGGAGAAATCACGGCATCCGTTGCCGGATTATAGAACGTAGCAATCGAGATTCTGCTTCCCTCCTTCTCCGCCAACACGCGGTGCAGAATGCTCTTGTATCTCCCATTGCTCACAACCTCGATTTGGTCACCGATGTTCACGAATATGGCGTTCTTCTTCGACGGCGGAATCTTCAACCACACGCCGTCGTTTTGGAACTCGAGCCCCGGAACTTGGTCGTCTTGGAGGAGAAGAATGATCCCGCCGGCGTCGGTGTGTTCGCGGAGGCCTCTCACCAGCTCCGGCCGGGGGCATTCCGGGTATTTCGCGACTTTCGTTCCCACTGATGGGCCGTTGGTTCCGGAGAATAATTGCTTTATGTGGGCCTTCTCCAGGCCCAGATTCTCGCACATCAGCTCCGCGAGCGTCTCTGCAATCTTGATGAGTTGAGGTATGTAGTCTTCTTCCATTGCTTCGCTGTATTTTTAACCACAATTTTTTAAGTTCCTTTACAAAAATATGGTTTTGATTAAGTTCTAATTATTCTATTTCAATTTTTAGGAATTATAATAAAAATTAAATAATTTTTTTTAGTGTAACATATACAAATAAGAATATGAGTGCCTTAACCAATCGAGCAAATTAGAGACTAAATTATTATTTTTTAAAATTATAGGGATTGAAATAAATATATTAAAAGCTTAAAGATCAAAATTAAATTAAATAAATATAGACATCAACATAGCCTAGTTAGTCAAGGTTAACCTATATAAAAAATTTAAAAAATTAAATTAAATAAATTAAATGAGCAAATTAAACTTACCATAAATGTTGGGAGATGTTGGTAATTTGGGAGATATTAGATTTTGGACGATGGCAAATGAAGAAGGTGCTTTCCCAATCCACGTCAGATAATGGCATTTTGCCCAAGTTTTTGGCCACTTCTGAACTGTAAAAGCTTTCCTTCATGTTCTCATCATAATGTCTGTTCACCAGTTCCTTCACTTTCTCCAACACTTCCTCTTCAATCCCATGGTTCTCTACCTGCTCACCAATACCAATCCACACAAACCACAAACAATTCCCAGATTTAAGAAAAAGAAAAAAGTTCTTTCATCTTACACTAATTCTCAAAAAAATCCGTCAAAACCGAGCAAACTACGCGATAGTCGTTGAAAATGCAAACACAATCTCGCATCAACAGTAAATAGAAAAAATAAATAATTAAATTTAAATGATGGATATGAAGATGAGTGTTGTCCTACCAAAATACTCTATGAGAAGAGAGAATTTACCATAAAGAAGCCCCAATTCTGGCAAGCTTCATGGAGGAGGGAGAGGGTTTTGGCCCTATTGTCTCCATTGAGCTGATTGAAATCAATGGTGGGGATCTCCATAGCCTCCTGTTTAGAGTGGAAAAGGAAGGGTGAGATAAGGGACTATATATAGGCCTTGGTTCAATTGGGGATATTATATATATATATATATTTTAATCTCTAGGACTATCAAATAACCTTGTGAATTAAGCTTTCAATGCTCTTCTCTATCTTTTATTTGTGAGAGAAATTTAACTTTACTTCACTTACTCATTGTCCACTCACCAAGTTTGAATTTACTTTTGACCATTCTTTCTTTATCATAACTATTTTCAAGGATATCATTTCAAGATTGACTGAATTTTTTAAATTAGATTAAAAAGACAAAAAAAAAAATTTATAATTTTCAGAGGGTTTGGTAAGGTTTTGAGAATTTTCAGTGGATTTGGTAAGTTGAACTAGTGACGTTAAGACAGTAGAGAGAGGATAAAAGAAAAGGTAAAGTGACTTTAGGGGAATAGATTCAAAATTTATGATGGATACCGACTAGTTAGGATATTAATATCATATAATTTTCTTTTACAATCTAATGTTATAAGTTGTTAGAGAATCATGGATATCAAAGAGAAAAAAATAAAGTTTTAAAAGTGATATATAAAAATACATCTTAATATAAAAATGTTTTGATCAATGAGCCTACTTAGAAAGAAATTGTCTTACATCTTGGAAGATGCCTTCAAAAGTTGATTATTAGGCCAAAATGAACTATTAGTAAGCAAAGTATAATTTCAAAATACCAGAAAAAGGGAAAAACAAAAATTTCAAAATTTTAGATTTAGTAAATAATTAATACAATATCAAAGGAGATACATTGTCCAAACTAATATTTAGATGGGATTGTGAGTAAAAGTATATTAAATACTTAAATTAAATATTATAGTCAAATGGTTTTGGTTTTTGGATGATTTAATACATCCCACCTTCCCTACTGATTCTGTGTGCTGGTAAGAAAGGAAAACACATATATTTGAAAATAGAAGATTTTATTTTAAGAAATAGTTATGAGTTTATGCAGTTGCTAGTTTGAACTTAAAACTAGGGGCACCAACACCACCAATCACATGGCCACCCCCTCACACTGCTCATTTACAGGGACAATTTTGGAAATATCAATTTATGAATATCTTTGATTGTCTTCTCATTGTGCCAGAATTTTGTGACAGTTTATTCACGTCGCCCATATTGCAATGTCAATTTAAGCATAGTTTAACTGATTAAGATATTTATGTTTCATCCAAATTAATTATACAAGTCCTTGGTTGAAGTAATCGGATAAAATAATATGTTGTTAAAATAATTATATTGAATTATTTTAAAATTAGAAATTAGAAGTGAGATTTTTGTATTTAATTTAAATATGAATATATCATGTATATTTAATATAGTAATATTTTACTTTTAAAAACACTTCGTTCAAGCAATCCTGTAAAATATTATAATTTAACTGGACAACGACTTTTTTTTTCAACGAAAAAGTAGTCAATGACCAATTGAAGCAAAGTTAAATTTATCTCACAAAGGGAAAAAAACATATAACTTTAGATCCAAAAAAGTAGTAATAATAAAAATCTATAAACAAAAATTAAAAATTGTTACATAAAAATAAAATTAATAAATTTTCGAAAGGTGAAATCAAATATAGAAGTGACAGTTAATTCCCGATCAATAATTTCAATCAAGAAGTGATTATCACATTTTTCCCTTTACTTAAAATTAAATCCAAGCCCATCAGCCCATTTTTACAACCCACGAGACTTTTCGTCCTTCCCGAATCCCTAAAGTAATAATAAAAATAAAAATAATATCTTACAGAACGAAGGCCGACTCTCTCCCTTTCCTCCGACGATGCCAGTCGGCGAGCTTCGAGTTTCATCTCAGCCTCTGGCGACGGAGCCTCCTCCGAATAACGATGAGACGTGGGTGTGGGCGCAGATTAAAGCGGAGGCGCGACGAGACGCGGAATCGGAGCCGGCGTTAGCCAGCTATCTTTACTCAACGATTTTGTCCCATTCATCTCTTGAGAGGTCGCTCTCGTTTCATTTGGGGAACAAACTTTGCTCCTCCACGCTTCTTTCCACCCTCCTCTACGATCTTTTCCTCCACGCTTTCTCCACTGATTATAGTCTACGATCCGCCGCCGTAGCTGATCTGCGGGCCGCTCGAGAACGTGACCCGGCCTGTGTCTCATTCTCCCACTGCCTCCTCAATTACAAGGGCTTCTTAGCCTGCCAGGTAAAAATTTATCAAATTTCAATTTGCTTTTGAATTTGAATTTGAGGAAATTACATTTTTCTATTACTTGAATTCTTAGGGACTAGAGGCATTTTGCTCTAAATTAGGGATTCATTGGGTTTCGATTAGGTGAGTTGAAAATTGAAATGTTCATAGATATGATCGGAGACTGTTGGGTAATCCGAAGTTAACCTTACTTGAAAAATGCACTTGAATCCCATCAGCCAGTAACACCTTCGTTCATGAGAACATAAAAGTAAGTTCCTCTAGAAAATAAGTAGTCTAACACCCCTTCAATCTACCAGAGTCTTCAATCATCAAATTATGAAACCTGACCATCAAGATTAAAATTAATATGAGACAAATAATTCAAAATATGAAAAGTGAATAAGAACAGATCAAAAGAGTAAAATGGAAAAAAAAAATACCAAAGACAAACAATTTTGAAGACTACGTATCAAGTAATCAAGAGTAGTTGCAATATGAACCCCAGCTTCTTTAGCAGCATTACTTATGGCCATGGATGCAATAAAATGTTTGTATTCTTGAATGAATAATGTTATAAGTGCTGCAAATATATCGTGCAGGATTCAACCATTTCAAGGAGGATATATCCATTGAGCTGAATATTTGTTGCAATTCACATCCATGCCGTATTGGTTGGCAATCTGTAAATCTATAATAAATGTAAGATGAGATACTCACGTCCAAACGTTGCAGTCACCATAAGTAGCTTCTCCCATTATATGATGTAGTAGAACATATCCACTCCCAGAAATATGGATTCTTGTCTGCCAGAAATAAATAGGTTATCATCATGTTGAAGTTGGAGAAAAGTAAAGTTACTCGGAGGAAATTTTTTTTATTCGAAGATTGTGATTTTTCATTTACTGGTTCTTTGTTCATGGACGTATATACAGGTCTTAAAACTATTAAACAAACTTAACGATTTTATCATGGATTAGGATTACAATTAAACTATTCACCGAAGTAACATCTTTATGTTTAATTGCTTTCTCTAGTTTGAATATTTTATAATCTTAGTGGGCGATTTGTTTTCCCTTTCTCAATACAGTTTGCCATTTCTCTTTTAGGCTCATCGTGTGGCTCACAAGCTGTGGACTCAATCGCGCAGGCCACTAGCTCTGGCACTTCAATCTCGCATTGCTGATGTCTTTGCGGTCGACATTCACCCAGCCGCAAGGATTGGCAAAGGCATTCTGTTCGATCATGCTACCGGGGTAGTGGTGGGCGAGACAGCGGTGATAGGCAACAATGTATCAATCCTTCATCACGTCACTCTTGGAGGGACGGGAAAGGCGTGCGGAGACAGGCACCCAAAGATCGGTGATGGGGTTTTAATTGGCGCTGGAGCCACCATTCTTGGCAATGTCAAGATCGGGGAGGGAGCAAAGATTGGTGCGGGATCGGTGGTGCTCATTGATGTGCCACCACGGACGACTGCGGTGGGCAATCCAGCAAGGTTAGTGGGAGGGAAGGAGAAGCCATCACAGCTCGAGGATATTCCTGGAGAATCCATGGATCATACTTCTTTCATCTCCCAATGGTCAGATTACATAATTTGAAAGTATTTTATAAGATTCAGTGTTTTATACTTGCATCTCCGGCATCTCAGCCGTGGATTCTAGTTTCCATTCTGCCATGATTATAGCTGTAACCATTGGAATAGGATAAATCGACCACTCTTTTTGTTTCCCTTCTAGTATATTTACACACTCTTCTGCCACTAAATCATGTGCTGTAAGCAGACACATCTTTCAACTTACTGGTTCCGTTTTAGGGGAGAAAGACCATCTTGTACGACTCGTCGTTCTTTTTAGTATGTTTCTTCGGTCCCTTCTTGTATCGTTTTCGTTTATTGAGCAATACTTATGTATGTTTTAGCTGAGAGTGGAGTACTTGATCGTGATATGACTGTCTCTAACGGTTATAAAAGTGGCAAACACATTGAATGATAAAATAGATGATTCGGTAGCAAAATTAGCGGATTGTTGCCTCTTGGACCATCATTGAGCTAATTTGCTTTCACTCTGGCGTTTTTCTTATCAATTGTATTACTTTAGTAAACATATACAAAATGTTTCAAAAACTACTTATTTAACCTAGTATATAATATAAATACTATTTTTTCCCATTATAATATAAAAATAAATTTTGAAGAAGATAATAATCCTCAAGTTAACTCTGTTCTTCAAGTAGAGATTTTAATTCTCCTAGGTTGAGGACGAAAATGAAAAAATCTCAATCCGAAAAAACGTTTAATCTCAAAAGGATCTTATTATATTGAATAACGTTATTAATTAAATAAATATACCTTAATAATACACAATAAAATAAATATACCTTAATAATACACAATTATATCATTAGGGATACATATCAAGAAATTATTTAATGTGACTACACAATAAATATAATTTGATATACTTAATTTTATTTTCTGTCACGTTAAATAATTTCTTGATATACTTAATTCTATTTTCCATTAACAAAATCTATATTAGCTATAAATTTGAGAATGAAGGCGTGGACTTAAAATAACTTCGAGAGGGCTTTTTTTTGTACAATTTGGCGCTTTTTCCTCTAATGTCGAAATCTTTTCGACTATTTAGAAATCTTTCTAGATGAAATTCAAAAGGATCCTCCCACACAAGTGGGTCTCTTTGAAGCTTCTGAATATTAACCATGAGACGTACTGTTGGAACGTGGTAACAAGCAATGGTGCAATCTTTCATGGATTCATGAAGGATTGTCAGTGGTGCCGCAAGATACAAACATAAAGTTTTCCTTCACATTGCTTAGAAATATACAAGTTTTTCGACGTCGGACTCTTTCACTCGCCTTTCATCTCCCAACATGTTCATGATCGTTGAGAAATAAAGAAAAAGCTCATATCATTGTCACTCTTGTAGTGCCAGAACTCGTACTTGTCGATACGAGAGTAAATATACACAATGGAAGAAAGCATGACGTCCATGAAATGGTGCTGCTCTTTGAGCCAGTTATCAAACACATGGAAACGCATCCGCCGGAACCAACACTCCACACAATTCTAAGAAATCCCTCATCTGTCTGCCATTTTCGCTTACGTTATGTGGGCAGGTTCTGTTGCACTTAGTAGATGGAGGTGGCCGATCACCGGCCAAGCGCCGGCGGCTTCCGGTGGGAGTCTGGTATTCCGGCTACGGCTTCCGACGAGGCCATTAATTTCTGAGTGTCTGGAATTTGGAATTGGTTTGTGGTGGAAGGGAGGGAGCCACTGCTCTTTGGACACAAAAAACAAATAGAAAGGAATCTTCTTTTTTGGATAATGCCAACTAGATTGCTCCCAGTCTGATAATCAACATCGTTTTCATTTGGCACTGCATTGAATGGACCACGAATGAATAATAATTGTCAATTCTTAATTCCTCCCTATTGGTTTGACATGGACATGAGAATTAAATCAAAATATTTCAATCATATTAAAAAAAATTCGATGAAATATGAAAAATATAGATTTTTTTCTCTTTCTTTTAATATAGAGACATTTACAAATACATTAATTTAATCTCTTATATTAATTGGTGAATTAAATAGGAAGAAAGGCTAAAGTCAACATACATACTAAAACTAGCTATCAATCTTTGATGATTTTTTTTCCAAACCAAAGCTTTGATTTAGTTGAAATAAGTTATATTTGATCGACCGAACAAATATGAATTCTACGTACTTGAACTCTTTCTTCAACAATTCACTATGTCTTTAGTCTTTAATTCATTACGTTACGTTGGTTAACATGAACTCGCCTCAAATTAAATACCACAATTTGTAATGAATTTGATATATTTTACAACAACGCTGCATTTTTTAGATCTAGTCTAGCAGTAAGACGTAACTCCTCCTTAATTGCAAGAATTTCAATTAGGGGGAATATAAGACTTGATAGTAGCAGGTCATGTGGCTGCGATGCTCGCCCCTTTTTCATCTTAGAAAATCATCATAATACCACTTATTTAATTATGTATACCATACGTGGCATCGGTGTTGATCTTGATGTATCTAGAAGGTGGAGACCACCATCTATCTTCTTTCGCTTTCACTGAATCTCTCATAAATTATATTTTTGTCTGTATACAAAAAAATATCATGATATTACATTAGCTTAGTAGAAAACTACTTTACTAATTCTTTACTATTTATCTAGTAATTAAAATTAGAAATTAAGTTAGTGCATTTATAAAGTGGTACCTGGAAAAAAAAAACGTAATGCATTTATAAAGGGGCCGGCCGGAATAGAAGTTAATATGAAATAACTGAGATGAGAGCTAAAATATTAGAAATAAGAAATTATGAAATACGTTATTTGCAATACAACTTTTAAATTGAACCTAGTGGTGTGTTCATATCAATTAAAAAAAGAGATTCTTTTTCCAACAATCTATTACCATTCATTTTATTTTCAAGCTTCACAATTTCATTTTCATATTAGTAGAACCCTCTGCCAGGTACCACATTGAAAAGTGGATGCATGCCAATTGGAATCTAGTTATTTTGGAAGTTTTTACAGTGTCTGGCGAGTAATATAATGTAATGTTAGAAACTAAAAAAATATTTTGATATATTTAATATATGATGATTTATAATATGCATTTTATTAACGACTATTAGAAGACAGCCACATACATGCCACAATCCAAGATTGCATTCAATAATTTTTCAATATTTTCAGTTTGGAAGATAAATGCAAAAATTGGGTCCATCACAACGCATGGTTAGAAATCAAACATTAAAATGTAGATTCAAATAAAAATCATATCCTATCATTAAAATCCATTTCCCTCCACATATTGTTTTGGAGAATAATCTTACATAATCTACATAAAAT